CTGTCCCCCCTGAGAAGGTTCTCTTCCAAATGCGTTTCCTGGTAGAGGACAGAGTCTCCTTGTAGTGACAAGTGGCAGGGTGGCTCCAGGATCTCTATAGAGCAGGGACTCAGGTCACCATTCTGGAGGGATGGGGGAGGATTTGTCTTAGAGCTGCTTTTGTTTAGCATGCACCTTGTGCTTAGCTAAAGAGCACCTTTATGGGGTGGCTTTGTGATACTAAGAGAGATTGGGAAGGGCACCCCCCAAGCCAACCCTGTGGGGTCTCCACTATGTAATAGAAAGTTCATGAAGTTTGGATCCTGGCAGACAGTTCAAATCTTGACTTTACCACCAAGTAGCTGGGTGGCCTCAGACAAATTACAGGTCCTCTGAAGAGTTTGTTTTGTTCATCTCTAAAATGCACATACTCCATAGAATTAAAATCATGTGAAGTTCCTGGCAGAGAATGGGCATGGAATAAGGGTGCATTCCCACCTCTTGATCCTTCTAAGCTCTGGCATCTCTTGGGACTCCTGGGGGAGGAGTAGGCTGGGGCACTGTCTGCTGGGCTCCCTTCATGCCTGGTCTTTGTAGTGGCTTCTGGGAAGGTCAGTTGTAGCTATTTGACCCGAAGCCTGAAGTAGGCTGCATGGGAAGGGACAGAGATGGAGGGCTTACGAAGGGGGTGGGTAGTGGAGACCGCCGTCTGCAGAGATCAACTTGGACAATGTGTGGGAAGAGCTTCATGAAGTGGGAAGCGATGGCCTGCTTGGTGAGGACTTCAGCCTTACATGGCACTCCATGAGTTAACACGTGTGCCCGCTTAGAGCCCTGAAGTTGACCTTCATAACTGCTGTATGAAAAAGCCAGAGCAGGGGCTTCCCTGGTGGCGCAGTGGTTGAGAGTCCGCCTGCCAATGCAGGGCACACAGGTTCGTGCCCCGATCCGGGAGGATCCCACATGCCGCGGAGCGGCTGTGCCCGTGAGCCATGGCCGCTGAGCCTGCACGTCTGGAGCCTGTGCTCCGCAACGCGAGAGGCCGCAACAGTGAGAGGCCCGCGTACCGCAAAAAAAAAAAAAAAAAAAAAAAAGGCAGAGCAGGAATTACCAGGCCCTGCTCATGGGTGCAGAAACTGACACTCAGAGATGTAGGCACTTGCTGAGAGCCTCCCAGTGGGGCCACACAGTGAATGGTGGAGCCACGATTTGAAGCCAAATCTCCCACTGCAGAGCCAGCTCTCGCTGGGGCAGTATCAGACCGGGTGGGCTCATGCCCACCCCAGACAGGACCAGTGTGTCCAGTGGGGAGCAGCCTCCCAGCCATCGCTGGAGACTTCAGCACATGGAAGCTACTGCCTGCCTCAAGAGCTGATTTCTGTGTGGGCCGAGGACCCCGGAAAGGGAAGCGGACCAACCCATGATGGGAGTGGAGGTGAGTCTGATGGACAGGGGTCCCTGAAGAAAGCTGAGAGATAAGCCCTGGCAAGGGGGCCAGGGAGCATCAGGAGGCAGGGACCCCAGGGTCAGTGTGTCCCTGCACAGAACCTCCCCAGGACCAGCCCCATCGTGTATTCGGAGAAGGTGAGGGAGGAGCCATAAAGGCAAGAACTGAGTTGCCTACAGCTCAAGAGCTTTGCGTTGGAATTACCATTAGAAGAGCTGATTTTAAGAAGTCCAAGCTGTGTCTCTAGAGGCTGGAGAGAAAGAAAAGGGGTGAAGGCTGATGTTCTGGCAGAAGCCTGTAGGTGAGGGTCACGGCTCATGGTGGCCAGGAACCAGGATGGTCAACACAGCAGAATGACAACAGCCATAGGCCCTGAGGATTCATAGAGGATCCCCTTCTCCCCAGTGGTGGGGAGGGGGCCCTTCTGGCTAACAGGAAATTATGCTGTGGTCACTCAGGCAAATTTGGGGAGGATTTTGGACAATATACTGTACTTTCTGCCAGTAAGTGGGAAGGGACTCAGCATGCAGCTTGGAGTTTACTATTACTATAAATGTGACCTATTTTTACTTACTGGCACGAGAAGCCCAAGTTATATTTCAGTGGAGGTGGGAAAGCCCTGTCAGTGTCACCAATTTACAGCTTGTCCCTCTGTGCCTGAATCCCAAATCATAAGGTGATTCCTAATGCAAATTCTTGCTTGGATACATGTTTCTCTGATCAGACTGCTTTCCCAACAACTGGCTTGGGGCTCTGTACTCTGGGAATGGGGGTTTGGATGAGGGAGAAGGGAAAACTCATTTGGAACTTGAGACTGAGGAGATATGCTCTTAAGGGGATTGGGGGTGGGGACTGGGTACCTCACTGGTGGTTCAGGGGGAGGCAGCCTCTGGGAAACCACTGGGACCAAGAGAGAAAAAAAAAAGCAGGGGAGGTGGCAGTGGGACCAGACAGGAGGCTGCCAAAGAGCAAGCTTCACCCACTTGGAGAGTTTGTGTTGGGCTTGCATTTATCTCATTCATTCCAAATTATTGATTACCTCCTGTGAAACAGGCACTGTTAGGACCGGAAGATGGAGGGTGAGAGGAGATAGGCACGAGAATCAGACCTCTCATAGGAGCTTGAGGATGAGCCATGGGCAAAAGTAACCCTGTTGTGCAGCTGGCAGCAATCAGAGCTGCGAGAATGTCACAGAAAATGCGTGAGAGGGTGTGTGGAGATTACACCTGGCTTGGGTTAGGGTTGCCATGAGACCCAGAAGTCATCATGGGAAGGTGGAATTGGCCCATGAGAGGCACGTAGTTTAACACGTAGAGATGGGAGTTGAAAGGCATCTTGGGTAGGGAAGGCAGGGTGGGCAAAAGCAGGGAGGCGGCAAGTTAAGCAATCTGTACAATAGAGCAGTTACTGTTCATTTGCACCCATGTGTGTGCTATATAAAGGTCTGAGCAGTAATTTGAGGAGATTTTAAGAGTGTTTTTCTTTAGGTGGAGAATCTTCTGTATTTTTAAAAATAATGATAAGGACGGCAATGATGATGGTGTTGAGGATGATGGTGATGATGGTGATGATGATGGTGATGATGATAACATGAATTGTGATCAAGTTGATTGAGCCTTGAATTGCCAAGTTTGGTTTTATCCTGTGAGCAAAGTAAACACATCACTGACTTGAAATCCTCCCCACCTCCCCGCCCCCACCCAGTCTCTATGTTCCTCATTAAACTTGTCTTTGAGGGGACATTGCCCATCCAACCCAACCCTGAATAAGAACAAAGTTGTAGGAAGGAATGGCCAAGAAATAGTTTATTCTGAACAACGAACAAGGCTAACTTGAACAGAGCCAGGAAATCCAGCCTCTTCAGTTACTTCCAGCTCCTGCCCCTAATTCATGAACTCAACCCAGTGAGGGGCCCTAAGTGCTGCCAGGGTCACAGTGAAGAGAGAAGCAGCCCCGTTATTTCCTGGAGGGGACAGGATGGTGCCAACGGGAATCAACGAATGAAAAGTGTGCAAGACAAGTGGACACGTGGGCAACACCATCTAGAAATAGCCTGGGTTTGAAGGAGGAAAACAATAATCATTTCTTTCCTTTTTTCAAATAAAAATATAAAACCACATAATACATGAAAATGTCTCTTTAAGAAATCCAAGAGATGGCATTGACAGTCCCAAGGATTGATTTATGATGTAAAAAGTGAAAGTTGGATGAAAAATAAAAATACAATTGAACTTTCAGAGGAATGTACAGATATCAGAGACTCCAGGATGAAAAGTTCAAAGAATCTTAAACACCAGGCTTGTTTCTACAGAGAACTGGCTGTCAAATGAATGAAACAGGAAAGTTTCTTCAAATGATGCTGATGATAATGCAGACCAAAAACTGCTACCATTCACAGAGTAATATGTGCTGGGTGTATCACACACAGGATCTTTTTTTAACCCTACAACAACCCCCGAGGGTTAGTTTTATTATCCTCGTTTTAAAACGAGGAAACTGACACTCAAGGGATTACACGATTTGCCTGAGGTCTTCCGGTTAGTAAACAGCAGGGCTGGATTCTGGACACAGTCCTGATTCCAAGTCCAAGCTTTATCCCCTGTGCTACAGCATCTCCCACTTCAAAGACAAAGTGCTCCCTGAACAGATCATAAAGTAGTTTGCTCTTTGTGTGAGCCCACCGTCCTCCTACACTTTCTAACCACCTGTGCTTCCTAATTTATCAGTGTGGAGCAGCCTCCTTGATGGCAGTTGGAGACCCTCTTTAAGACAATGCCGATGAGATGACATAACCCCTTTTCAGGAAAGAAAACTTGGACGGGGACGGAGACTCAGAGTTCTGCTGTGGGACTGGGTTTTGGGAAGAACTCTGCTGACACTCTATAGGAGAGACTGATGGTCAGTCATTTGACCTTCTGAGTGGGCATCTATGGGCCATCCCAGCACCAGGGGTGGGGTGGGAGTGGAGACCTACTGAAATGAAAGGTGGAGATGGTGGAGAGCCATCTTAGAAGGTCAGAAAGGCTGGCCTGACAGAGAAGGCAAAAGAAGACACTTCCGGCTTAGCTCCAGGATTCGGGAATGGTGTTTCCATAGGCTAGGCTAACACATCAGATGTTTGAGGGCTGCATTTTCTTAAGAAAATGTCTTAAGAGCCAGGATGGACCGAATTGCAAAGTTGTGTTGGTCTAATTGCTTTGGGGGAAGGGAGTGCACTTCAAATATTAAGGTTTTATTTTGCCCGTGTAAACAACTTTATAAAGGTTTTGCATGTCCGCTACCCAATTGGATTCTTTGAATAACCTTGTAATTAGAGGTGGGGCAGAGAGCTGTTTAACCCCTTTGGCAGATGTGGAAAACTGAGGCACAGAAAGGGCAAGGCTTGTCCACAGTCAAGCAGGTATCAGCCGGGCAGCTGGGACCAGAACCCAGGCTCCCCAGCTCCGAGCCCAGGGTTCCTTCTCTGCATCTGATGTTATTAGAGGTGAGACAGGGACCATCGTGGCACAGAGAGGGGCTTTTGGTGGGCAGGGCAGAGGTGTGTGCAGTCCCGCTGGAAGCCACAGGTGGTGGCTTAGCTGCTGCAGCCACGGGAGCAGGCGTGGGCCAGAATGTTGTTGTTACACCCGTCCTGGAGCTTGCCCTGGGCCTGGCTCCCGGCTCGGCCTTCTGTGTCCAAGAGCTGGCCGCTCTGCCCTTGCTGCTTCCTCAGCCTGCAGACAAGCACAGCAGAGACCCAAGTTAGTGATGTGGAGCGGGGGATGTCCAGGGACACGGCTGGGGAAGCAGGGCGACCGAGGAGCCTCCATGTCACGCTGGCCTGGGAAAGCACAACCCCTGAGGGGGCCAGAATGCTGTGTCTGGAGCCTGGCAGGCTGGGATCCACACCCAGCTCAGGTGTGGATCTGAAGAGTTACTCAACACCCAGAACCTCGGTTTCTCTATCTGTAAAATGGAGATAGTAATACCTACATCATGGCTCCTTGTGAAGTCCACAGGAGATCATGTACATAATTTGCTTAAGTTCACACAGTAGGTAAAGGGGCGTGTCCCACACATTATTCGCGCATGTATGTGTAGTGAATGCCCACTGATGGACCAGTCACCGTGCCAGGGAGCAGAGCAAACCCTGGCGAGCAAAGCAGTCAGGTTCTCTGTCCTCATCGAGTTATCACCTGATGGGGAGGAAGGACAGTGATCAAATTGTCCCACAAAGAAAATATCTGAACAGATGAGCACCCAGACTTCTAAACTACCCCCTGACAAACTGTGTTAAGGGAGCACAATTCTTTTCTTTTAAATTTTTTCTTGAAGTGTAGTTGACTTACAGTGTTGTGTTAGTTTCAGGTGTACAGCAGTGACTCAGCTATATATCTCTCTATATCTCTATCTAACCATCTACCTATCTACTCTTTACATGTTCTTTTCCATTATGGTTTATTACAGGATATGGAATATAGTTCCCTGTGCTATACAGGAGGACCTTGTTATTTTATTTATAGTAGTTTACAACTGCTAATCCCAAACTCCTAGTTTATTCCTCTTCCCTCCCTTCACCCTTTGGTAACCATAAATTTGTCTTCTATGTCTGTGGGTCTGTCTCTGTTTTGTAAATTAGTTCATTTGTATCATACATTTTTTAAAAATTTATTTATTTATTTATTTTTGGCTGTGCTGGGTCTTTGTTGCTGTGTGTGGGCTTTCTCTAGTTGCGGTGAGCGGCGGCTACTCTTTGTTGCGGTGCGTGGACTTCTCATTGCGGTGGCTTCTCTCGTTGCGGAGCACGGGCTCTAGGCGCAAGGGCTTCAGTAGTTGTGGCTCGCGGGCTCTAGAGCGCAGGCTCAGTAGTTGCGGCGCACGGGCTTAGTTGCTCCGCGGCATGTGGGATCTTTCCGGACCAGGGCTTGAACCCGCATCCCCTGCATTGGCAGGTGGACTCCCAACAGCTACGCCACCAGGGAAGCCCCTGTATCATATTTTAGATTTTGCATGTAAGTGATATCATATGGTATTTGTCTTTCTCTGACTTACTTCACTAAGTATGATAATCTCTAGGTTCATCTATGTTGTTGCAAATGGTATTATTTCATTCTTTTTTATGGCTGAGTAATAATATTCCATTGTATACATGTGCCACATCTTCTTTATCCATTTTTCTGTTGATGGACATTTAGGTTGCTTCCATGTCTTGGCTATTGTAAATAGTGCTGCACAAACATTGGGGTGCGTGTATCTTTTCGAATTAGAGTTTTCCCCAGATATATGCCCAGGAGTGGGATTGCTGTATCACATGGCAACACCATTTTTAGGTTTTTGTTTTGTTTTGTTCTGTTTTTCGGTACGCGGGCCTCTCACTGTTGTGGCCTCTCCCGTCGCGGAGCACAGGCTCCGGACGCGCAGGCTCAGCAGCCATGGCTCACGGGTCCAGCCGCTCCGCGGCATGTGGGATCTTCCCGGACCGGGGCACGAACCCATGTCCCCTGCATCGGCAGGCGGACTCTCAACCACTGCGCCACCGGGGAAGCCCCCATTTTTAGGTTTGTTTTAAGGAACCTCCATACTGTTTTCCATAGTGGCTGCACCAATTTACATTGAGGAAGCAGGACTATGTACACTGCATTTCCTAACAGCTGGTACCTGGTCACCTTCCACATGATTGAAGACGTCAACACACCTCTTTCTGATCTTCAATTTCAGGTTCGTGCACTACCCCCCATCTGTCACTCCACGTGGACCGTGCAGGCAAAAAAATGAAACCAAGACATTTAAGGAAGCAGCGAGAAGTTTGAGAATAGGGAAGAACTCAGCTCAAACCCTGGCTCTCGACATCAGCCACTTGGATCAAAGGGTCAAGCTGCTTATCTTCTGAACCTCAGTTTTCCTATCACTGGGGACTATATCACTCCCTTGGCAGGTGCTAAGGGGAACCAGAGAGAATGTGTGTGAAATATCTAGTACAGGGCTGGTAATAATATAACTACAGTTCTACCTTGTTCTGAAAGACACAGGTTTCAGCTGAAATGTACCTTGTACATTAGTATGTTCTGTCAAACAGAGTGCAGACCTATTGCCTGATTTAAATGAAAGAGTTGTTTCACCCAACAAACATCTGTTTGTACTTGTCACGTGCAGGGCACTGTGGATGATCCTCGGATGAATACAACACAGCCCATGCCCTCGGATGGATCACAGTTTTGTGTGTGTGTGTATGGTGGGGATGTCATGTGTGTGTGTTTGTGTGTTGTGTGTGTGCACAAGGTAGGGATGCCTTGTGTACGTGTGTGCATGGTGGGAATGCTGTGTGTGTGCGTGTGTGTGTGGTGGGGATGCCTTCTGTGTGTGTGTGTGTGTGTGTGTGTGTGTGTGTGTTTGGCAGAGATGCCTAGTGTTTGGAACCATGCCAGCATTTGAGTAAGTCCTTCAGGCAATGTGAAATACCAGCGGCAACAAAGTAGTTTATAAGACAGTGAACTTGGAGCTACTGCCTCCTGTCCTTTTTTTGCGGTACGCAGGCCTCTTGCTGTTGTGGCCTCTCCCGTTGCGGAGCACAGGCTCCGGACGCGCGGGCTCAGCGGCCATGGCTCACGGGCCCAGCCGCTCCGCGGCATGTGGGATCTTCCCAGACCAGGGCACGAACCCGTGTCCCCTGCATCGGCAGGTGGACTCTCAACCACTGTGCCACCAGGGAAGCCCAACCTCCTGTCCTTTGTCTACTTGCAGGGACTAGGACCAGGTGCCCAGTGCCTCTGCCTCTGAGGCTTGCAGCCCTCCAGATAGGACAACTGGGAAAGGTAGTCAGGATAAAATACATCATCCTAGTGGAGGAGGGCTCAGGGCCCAGAGGCCCAGAGGCACTGGATCTAGAGGCCAAAGTGAGCAGGGAGAGGAGAGCCTAGGATGAGGAAGGGAGGTGGTCAGACTTCCTCAGCAAGGCTGGGATTGCCTGGGAATCTTGCTCCCCTGGCCCTTTATTCCCTCTCCTACGTTCAGAGACTCTCAGACACCTCTGGAGAGAAAATCAAATCTGAACTAGGGGAAACTCAAATGACCAAGAAATCTATGAGAGTGAAAGGGAAACGCTTTTACTTCCAAAGTAGGACATTGCTGTTTGGTTCACAATCTGTGAAGCCCCACAATTCTCTGGGTAAACTGCAAGGTAAAGATGAATGCCATTAAGATTTTCTTTTAAATGCCTAAACATAGCCTAGACAGCATTACTATCTCTAGATTTCGGAACTTCCCTGATTATAACGCAAAACAAAGCTTCAAAGACTGCATAATGAAGAGTGGAGCAAAGGGATGAGAGACCCCTGATGAGGGAGAGATGGATTCTGAAATCTTGTGTAGATCAGGGAAGGCTTCCTGCAGGAGGCAGCCTTTGAGCTGGGCTTTAAGGATTGGTCTGGAATGTGTGAAGCTGGAGGGAGGGAGGCAGGAGATTTGAAATGAAGGGACACCAGTGAGGTAAGTCACGGAAAGTAAAAACAATACTGCATGGTGGACCAGAGTCCCTTCTGGAGCTGGAGAGTTTCAGCCACTTCAGCTCCTCCTTCTGGCCAGAGCTATTTCAAAGAGTAGAACCAGGGGCTTCCCTGGTGGCGCAGCGGTTAAGAATCCACCTGCCAAGGCAGGGGACACGGGTTCAAACTCTAGTCCGGGAAGATCCCACATGCCGTGGAGCAACTAAGCCCACGAGCCACAACTACTGAAGCCTGTGCGCCTAGAGCCCGTGCTCCGCAACAAGAGAAGCCACCGCAGTAAGAAGCCCGCGCACCGCAATGAAGAGTAGCCCCCGCTCCCCGCAACTAGAGAAAGCCTGCGCGCAGCAACGAAGACCCAACGCAGCCAAAATAAAGGAATAAAATATTTTTTTTTTAAAAAAAGAGTAGAACCAGCTGTTTCAAGTCTCCCCTCGTCTACGGAGGGTCATAAGTATCCATAAGAATACTATGACCATGGGTACTGGAGGCCTAGAGTGGTGTGTAAATGAGGTGTGAGTCATGCGCCCTGCAACTTGCCACCAGGTGCAGTGTGAGACGAGAAGGCAGAATCCAGAAGGATGGACCCCTCTCTAGACATCCACCCATCCATCCACGGGCTTACACAACTGGATTCGAATCTAGTTTTGGGAGCCTCCAAAGCCTGCATTCTTCCCACTACATCTGCATTCCCACCTACTACCAACCATTTAGCAACCAGCCACCAGCCACCCACCCATTCACTTTCTCTCCACCTATCCATACATTCATTCGTTTGCTTACCCATCTGCCTATTCATCTACCCCATCCATCCAACCATCATCCATCCATATGTCCATCTGTCCCACCCCACCCCCACCTGTCCACCCCTACTCACCTAACTGACCTCCCCTTACTCACTTACTTATTCACCTACCCACCCATGTACCTCTATACAGACACCTATCTATTTACCTCAACCATTCATTATCCATCCATCCATCAATATATCCCTCCATCTACCCTTCTAATCATCATCCATCTAAGTATCCACTTACCATCCACTGATTCCATCTATTCACTATCCACCCATCCACTGATTCCATCTATTCACTATCCACCCATCCACTGATTCCCCCCATAGACCCCCTATTTACCCATCCACCCCCACAGCTACCTCACATCACCTATTCATCTAGTATCCATCCACCCGTCTATCCATCCATCCACCACCCTTCTGCCCATCCAATCATCCA